CTTGCTTTTCTTTAAATAGAATCAGGGTGACAAACGAGCACACGGTCCACCTGATGGTAAGTGGATACTGTGGCACATAGACATCTACATCTATCCTCGGTGAAGAATCAAAATGCAGATGTACTGTCACCCCTGATCTAATATCGTTTGAAGTAAAAAGGGTTTCCAATATTTTAATCTAAAATAGATATAATGGTAAAATTCAAAGAAAACAATAGATTTGTCTCTTAATTAAAAACATAGCACCAGAAGAAACTGGTATAGATTATATTTTTATCTAGCTGGACCGGCAGATGTTGAACTGCCCTTTCTGTTGTGTGTCTCAAGTCATTTCGACTTTCATATCGAATTAACTCCGGACTTTTCAGTGTAAATATAAAATGCGTCTTTGATTGGGGACAGCACTATAAGTTATTTTAAGACTGCAGCGAACTCTAAAAATCGGTTTAGAATTCGTTGTAAAACTGAAATATTATTGTGTAATCAAAATATAACATATATGATTGTTACTTTTTCGTTTTCAAAAAATGTCCCGCTGGGTTTCTTGATGATTTTTCCCAGGATATGTATTTTTCGAACCAGTGGTAAATTGTGGTGGTAAAATAACACAAATTAATGTGTCTTTAGTTAACATTTGGTCGCTAATAAAACATGATGTGATACTCAAATTATTTGAATTCTCTATATTACGGCTGCTATTGCTAAAATACGCCACGTTACAAGAGAGTGCTATACTGATATAATAATTGTAATATCGGATATTGTCTTGTCACCAATGTCACTTCGAGGCACCCACAAACTTTTGCTAATTTTCTTTATCAGGCGCTTCGACATAATACTTGTGTTTTGTATTTTATGCGCTGCCATAGCGTTCATCAGATTGCGCTAATACTTTGTCAACATACTCGTATTGCTCGCACTATCGCGGTGTGGGCAAAGAATTATGACATTGGAGGGACGAAAGGCTTGAGGGATAGAAACACGATATTTTTCGCAGTGGCAAACGGTAGAGAATGTACAATACGAAAAAATAATTTATATTATACTCGTATATATAGACGAAAACTCATAGAAACTGTTGGATAATAAGAATTTCTCATTTAAATTTATAAATCATCAACCCTGCAGGATGAATTAATTAATAAATAAAATCAGTTATTTATTGGTGGAGCTGTCATGTAAAATACCTATGAAAAAGAAAGCGAAAATAAAACATGTAGTCGAATTGAGAACTTCTTGTTTTAGGTCATCCATAAAGGGTCTTGTTTATTATTTTATTTTATTAGATAAATAAACCTGGACATATACATTAGGGGCTTTTATAGTTCGGCCGTTCAGAGAATGCGTTCCTGACACCTATCAGTCAGTCACGACTAGTGATGGGCACTACATAACACTGAGTTTTTTACCGTTCCTCCAAAATGAACCGCCGCGTTATTTTTAAGATTATTTTCGTTTTAAATTGGCGGAATCATTTAAAATTTATATTTTACTAATTTAAGTGGAAACCAAAAAAAGGTAATATTAATATAATAAAATTGTTTTATTTATTCATTGTTACAAAGTTACAATCTGTATTTCTATGAAATAAAGTACATTGAATTGAATGTGCGTACAGAATATTAATCAGACTCCGATTCGCTTGAGGAGGTGGTGTCTTCATCATCATCTTCGCCTACATGTATAATTATATTATTATCAATAACAGAATCAATCCTGATATCTCGGTCAAAATGTTCCACAATCAGGTTTTTAGTCTTCTCAACAACCTTTGCCCAGTCATCTCTTGTGACTTCTCCGCAGGCTTCTTTTAATAGGGTCATCATCCTTTTCGTGCTGAATGGCGGAGAAGTATTGTGGCGGGCGGCGTAACCTTTTATTTGAGCCCAGATTAGCTCAATCGCGTTATATTGGCAATGATACGGTGGAATTCTTAGAACGCGACGACCGTACTCCAGAGCCAGTTCATCGATTTCGTATCGCACATTTGCCGCTTTATTTTCTTTAACTAATTTAATTAGCTCTGGTTTTAGCATCTGCATATTTGCGTCAATGTCTTTTGCTTGTAACCAAGCAACCATTTCTTCTTTTTTATTAGCTTGGGTAGGTGGTTTCTGTATTTGAACCGAGTGATAGGAGGCATTATCCATGAATATTACAGAAGGCTCTGGTAGGCTTGGCAAAAGCACGTTCTGGAACCACTCTTTAAATGTAGTGGCTGTGTGTGTCTGTGAACATGTACAGGATCGCCCCCGTCACTACATCAGATTTGATAGACCACAAATCCTCGCTAAAGAACACCGATTCCTTCCAAGGATGATTCGCGAGGCTATTGAAATCAAAAAACATCCTAATTTCAATAGAGAAGATGGCTGGGTGCTACCATCTGCTTGGGATCCTATAATAAATAAAATTAAATCCCAATCCAAGCATACAACTGCAAGACTCCATGATACCATAAGTTCATACTGTGTAGATCGGAACAAAAGTTAAATTTTAATCTATGGTAACCGCGGTTAACTATGACAGCTGGACGTTGAACATCTCAGTCCTTCCCGTGACCATGGGTGCTGTAAAGCTCTCGAAACGTCGGGTAATTAAAAAGTTAAATATACGCGATAAATTCCGTAAAAACTAGTATTATTTCATTGTGTAGTGGCATTCATTTCCTCGTGGTAGTCATTTGTGGTTTTTGATTGAAATACCAGTAACGCGTTCTCCACAAAGCCGTATTTTTCAGAAACTGTGTGGCATATTATCAGACGGGCCCCCTTACCCATTGGTACTTTCGACGTCGACTCTTATGTATCATCCGTCCAAGAACTGGAAACCGTGTGATTGGCATTTAGCTATGTCTCGTCAATGAACACGACATTATCCCAGTTATCAATATTTTTTGCTTCTCTCAAAAAACTTATCCGTTTTAAAATTATGTCGTATCGTTCTAATAAAATTTTTCTTTTGTCAGTTTTTTATACGAAAAACCAATATCTTTTAAGATTTTGGCTAAAGCAGTTTTACCCCCGCTAAACAGTCCAGCTTCTCTTAACGATGCCAAAAGCTTCTTCCTGTTGATATATTCATTTCTGGAATAGTAACCATATATATGATTTCTGATTGCATCGGCGTCAAAGGTGTCAATATCTGTCACGGGTTTAGTTTACGTTTCTTCTTCGGAGTACGTAAAATATTATCTTCCGTGCCAGTAGAGCCGAACTTTTCTTTATTAATATTTGTTATCGTTCGTTTGCTAACTCCAAGCTCCTGAGAGACGCGTTCTTGTACTTATTCGACAGGTAACAGGGGTCCGCCATTTTGCCGCTCCCGCTCAAAGTAATCTTGCAGCTTGATGATTAACTCACGGGCTCCACTTTTCAATGTTTGTCCACGTTTAGGCATTATTTTGCACCAAAAGTAAAAAGAACGCAATACAAAACACAATCGAAGTCCGATTTAGCGCCGATGCCAGTTTGAAAAGCAGAAACAGTCCATTAAACGAAAGCCGGGTAATCAAATAAAAACAGATCGAAAACACTTGAAGAACGTGGTCTATACGCACGAAACGACAACAGACGACTGTTTTAGCGTCACAAATTGGCGGCCCATAACGCTATTTGGGGTTACCATTTTCAACCTAAATATAAAAATGCTAATTTCTTTCGCGCGTTCGGTTTGGTCGTAGTTTTATTTTTATATTTAATAAAAGTTATCTTAAAGTTCATTATTTTCAAATTCTTAAAAAGAAAAACAAAACGTATTATTTTATAAAGTATAACTGTATAAGAACAGATTACGATACGTTATTGTTAGCACAGCACTACAAATATAAATCGCTGACAATGTAATAGCGCAGTATAGATTTAGAAAAATATTGTTTACCAAGTTATTTGACACTCAGTTTGGCACAAAATTACAAAATTCATTGATTATTGATACAAAAATGTTGTTTTAATGCTCATCAATTGTTAAAACGGTAAACAACCAGCAAAAATATTTTTATCGTAACTGCAACGCCATTACAAAGTTACGTCGTCAGTTCAATCGCGACGTGTCAGGAACGCATTCTCTGAACGGCCGAACTATATTTTGTACAATCGATTAAAAATAAATAAGAACATCCTCAATGTAGGTATAATTAATTATGCGAGCGTGATTCTTATATTTATGCGAACACTACACAGTGATTAAAACTACTTTTACGGATTTTAGGTTTAGGGGACATGGTCCCTCGTGACCATAGATGCTGGAAAGCACCCTAAACTTTGTGAATTAAAAATCAAATAAATTAAATACGATAAAACCTTAAAAGTAGTTTTTATCAATCATCAACGTAGTTGAAGTCAATTAAATACGGGTCATTAAGGATAATTCAAAAGCAGTTGGTTAGATTTTGAGCACATTAGAAGCACCAGCTTTCGAATAAAAAAATCATTAAAATCAGTTCATCTAGAAAAAAAAGTTCTGAGGTAATGAATATGAAAAAAAAACACGGTCGAATTGAGAACATTCTGCTTTTTTTTAAGTCCGTTGAAGAGGCATTAAACATTTATCCGTCATGAACAAAGCATGCTTTACAGTAGTATTAGTACTTTTACTGAACTTAAATGTAATTCAGTATGAAGAGAACTTAAAGTTGATTAGGAACTATTCTCACTTAAATTTTAAAACTTGTAATAAAGTTGTGATAAATTTCTTATATAATCGTACTAGTTTACCAGGCAGACGTTCTGCCCTTTTCGACGACCCTTTGTCATGTCCTATTAAAAATCCTTAAATTAGCAAAAAAAATTGTGGGTCACTCATGGGCAAAAAAAAAAACTATCCTATCTCTCAAGTTGTACCAAACTGCACACGGTGTGCAAATTTGATTATAATCGGTTAAGCAGTTTAATTGTCCATCGCGGACAAACAACGTGACAATTTATATATATATTAAGATATAATACTAGGTCTTATCAGTATTTTTTAAGCAATCGGGTTTTTTTAACAATATTTAACCATTAGGCTTGTTGTGTGATTACATAGGCAGTAAATGTGATCTCTAACACACCTAAGTGGGTAGTACAGAGTTCCGCTAGAGCTAGGAGGTGGAGTGATACCTGTGCTACTCGGCTGAGGCGGTCGCGCTGCACGCGAAGGTCGGCCAGGCGCTTGAGCGCCGCGTCCTCCGCGCGGGCCAGCGCGCGCAGCGCCTCGCGCACCTCCACCACCGGACACAACCACTCCACACTCTCCATCTTCTCCAGCTCCTCATCCTGCGTACACATCTCGAGATAAAACCTATACGTCCTGTTAGCCTCAAGTTTCCTTTCGTCACTAAGAAAGCTATGTAACAATTTATCAATTAACAATAACAGAAACATATTTTGTAAATAAGTCACTTGGATTCATATACATAGAATTTTTTCAATAACTTAATTGCAGCCCTACCTATCGGATCTTAGACTGACCATAAACCATCATCTCGACAACACAATAATATTGAATGCCATGTCATGTCAATCCAATTCCACGTGTTCTTATATTATATATGTGTATAGCAAAGCATAATACTACGGACTGACTATCACGATATCTCTAATACTATACACCCGATTGACTTGAAAGTTAGAATAGTTACTCATTTTACAATGTAGAAGCTCACTGAGAATAGATTTTACGATAATCCCAGAAAAATTCTTGATATTTTATATCTACGTTCTTACCGTCAATTATCGTGCACCCAGCAAAGTGAACGAGTATCAGCTAGTATTTAATATAAATGAAATAAATTATTAATAAATAACTGAGAAAAATAAGTTCGAAACAAAAATATGTTAGCTAACAAGTACATACATGTTTCACTAGTACATATTGCTTGAGTTCACCGTGGTGAAAAAATACTAATTGAAAGTGGTACAAGAAACCGTGTAATGTCATACATATAAGAATATACGTAATGTATATTCCTACATCGACTCGTGGATATCGTAAAATACAACAGGGAGAAACTAAAACAGAAGACATGCATGGCATGGACAGCGTCTTCTTAATAACAAATTAAAAAAAAAACAGCGGTTACCAAGCCGCCTGTCAAGCGAGCTTATAACTATGATAAATTCCTCCTTTGAGGCAATCTATGAAAGAAGCCTGTGTTCAGAAGTGAACTTTTATGTTAATTCAAAACACAAAAAGGAAAAAGTAGTAGCAGTTTATTCATAGATCTCTAAAATACAGAAATACCCTGCAACGGCATGTGACCGCACTACTGTAACAGTGCGTGCGTGTATTGCTGCAGCGGCAGTGACCTGCAACGACAGTTACCTGCAGCGGCGCGTGCCTGCAGTCGCGCAGCGACAGCTCCTCGCTGTGCGACGAGGTGTCGGCCAGCTCGTGCGCCGCCTGCAGCGCGCGCCTGCGCCCCTCCACCTCCGCCGTCAGCCAGCCACACTGCGTACATCACCACATATACATATATAGTTTTTATTACATGGGACCAAGACTGGAGCCCTGAGGAACACCGTATGACCTTGGTACAGGTTCACTCAGGAGTTCATCTATTTTGACTCGCTGGCTGCGATTTATAAGTTAGTCGTAGAAGATGTTGCGTGCAGCACCTCAAACGCGGTGTTTGAGGTGCTGCACCTTCTCGTTCCTCAAGTTTATCGAGTAAGTTTGGGACATGAACGATGTCAAACCCCTTAGTTAAGCCCAGAAAAATACCAATACATTTGACCAGGTTCGTTACTGTACCTTCCGTACTGATACCCGAATGAAATTCGTCCCGTGTATCAGCAATAATATGGTAAATGTATAGGAACCGAACGAGCCGACGTTTAAGGATCTTTTCGTGAATCTTTGATAACATGAGAAGGGCCGATATTAGTCTATAATTATCAACGTAGTGTTGAACTTTTATATCCTTGTGAATCGTATGTACGAATATCTTTAAAACGTTTAGGGAACATTTTGCTCATAATTTTAAAAAATATGCGTTTTCATAGGAACAAAGTTTTTCAAGTTTTGAATTTATTAGGAAAGTAGATTTAAAGAACCGATTTTTGCGGACGATATATACGACACTTTTTTATGGACGATTTCAGATGCACTTAGTTAGGTCTGGAAGTATCCAATTCTTAACTTGCTGTTTTTCACCAAAATTTTGGAACATTGAAAACCCGTGTATATTTAGTAATTATAGGAGATAGAAGGGTAACTAGAAGGCCGCAATATTTGCATTTTCATTTACTAAAATGTGCGAAAAATCATTTGAGTAATTTGTACTTTTATAGCCACATGGTCAACATATGTTAGCAACCCGGAAGGAGAACGTTTAAGATATACGTTTTTAAAATTAATGCTTAATATTGTAGGGAGGTGAACGGTAATAAACGCCTTTAGCACAAAGGTGATGGCAGTATATTAAGTATATTTTGTGGTCATTCTTCGTCTGTCTAGAGTAGGATTGGTGTGCCGGGAAAAATCCATGAGAAGCGGATAACGTTAGATAGTCATTTGAACGACCATCGTCATTGTTGGGTAAGATGTTTATATCGAGGTGCCCCACAAGAGTAATATTATCGTTTTAAGAGAAACAAGTCGAAACTTAATTTAAGCAACGAATATATGAGTCAAAACGAGATCTTAGCGTGTGAGATTTGGAACGGTAAATACCTATCACACAAGAAAATGACGCTATATCCTATATTATGCCAGCAGAGTTATAAATTTTAGGGGGCTCCTTTTTTATTCTTTTTTGGGTAGTTATCATGCTCTTAACTATTTTTGTCGGCAAATAGCAATGCTTTCACCGCTGCGTTCCGTTCTGAAGGGTAAGAGTCTCTAAACTACAGTCTATGAAAAATTCCATTTTAGTCCTCAGAGATAACCATTCATCTGTAGCCTATTTGTATGAAGGTGACTACAGGTGTCTATGGACTACAGTAGCCACTGACTAGCAGGTGACCTGTAGATTCGTTTAAGACTTTTTTATGAAAAAATCTAGAACTAGTAACATCTAATAATGCGATAGCCGATCCGACTGCCGAGCATGGCGATTACATAATCGGTATAAGAGCCGTGCAAATTCAAAAATCTTTTTAATCACAATATAAATGTCGCAAATAAAATATAATAACGCTTCAACATTCCACTTATGTTAGCTTTTTCCGACAATATTTTAAGAGCAAGTCAATTCATCTTAATAAAATGTATGTGTAACTGTGTCCGCCCATTGCCTCTCCCACACAGTTTAAATTTCAACAAATATTAATGAATAAACATATTATTACCCGGTAGGAAAAATACATAGAACATTCTTTGAAATGTTGACGTTAATACTATTTCAGTGTAACCGGCTGTAATAGAAGAAAAAACTTGTTTCATTTGAAGTATGAAGTAATTTTCATAGCTGTAAGGTGCAATAGCTACATTAACTGGTTAGGGACACGATTAACTTCCCGCATTTTTATTGGATCACCTCCAACATTACTATGACGCAAGTCGCACTGTCATTATGGAATACATAATATTTTATAAACGGATTATATTGAATATACGTGCGAAACATAATTTTTAAAACATATGACCAATCACCAAAGACAATAGAATCAGGCGTTAATTTGCGGAAATCCATTATATTAAAAATGTTTGTAATTAATTTTCTAAGATCCGCCGTGGTGTGTCTTTCCTAGTTAGTGGTGACGGGAAATAGTGACAGACATAGTGCACATTTTATTTTATTACGCAGATCTCAGCAAATTAATTTTATACATCTTCAATTACCAAAGAATATTTTTAAGCTTGCCTTTTTAGGATTTAAACTATTATGTAAAAATTTGATCAACTAACCTGCTCTTGAACTTTCTCCAGCAGTTCTTCATATTTGCTCTCCTCTTGTGCGCAGTTTTCGCAAATAGTCACCTCAGTCTGGTCCGCCTTTTCACTCCTTAACGATTCTAATTCGCCAAGCAACGCTCTCATCTTGCTGTCTCTTTCGTCTATCGTCTTCTTCATGCTCTCCAACTGTTCTATAATCTCCGCTTCTCTTTTTACTTTCTGTTCTAACTGGCCCTCCAAACTAGCGATAATATCTCGAAGAAGTGTTATCTTCTCCTCTGAGGATTTTAGCTCCTCGTCAGTAGCGGCCTTTCTCGTTTCTAAATCTGTTATTATTTGGTTCATTTCTCTTGTTTGCGCTTCCAATTGTTCTACCTGTTATTAACATCATGTCATATTGACTGTGAAATTGTTTAACATAAAAAAATTAACAATATCTTATGCAACTTTCATAACGTATATATGATCAATATTATATACCAACTGTTTTAAATGATTGAGGACAATTTGTATTGAAATGTTGTGCAAACTAATTTACAAAGAAAGCAATTTATTACGGAATGAATACTTTTGTTTGAAAATGTTAGGCAAGTATATTATAAAAGAAAAATCAATACAGTATACATACAAAAATAATAAATATCTAGAGTATATAATAGAAATTTAATATAATAATAACATTAGTGAAACTTCTATGTCAATGTGCTACAAGTGTAAGCTACGTGTTACGGATAGAAAACTAAGTTCATTGCTCATTATCGAAGAACGTAAATGATAAATTAAATACAAACTGAAAATTATTAAAAATCAAAATATAGATGCATTGTCCTATATTTTAACCCCTGACCCGGAATGCCTCGTTTCCAGTAAAAAGGGTCTCCGGTTCTCTACACTCACCTTCGTATGGTGTGAAACACAGCAGCATTAAGCTGGTTTTCTGTGAGAGCGTGTTCCTTTTCAGTTAGAGACGACACATTCGTGCTACAACCATAATATAGCTGCAGCGTGGCTACACCACGTACTAAAGTTTGGAAGTTTTACGTCCATGAATTATACGTTATAAATTGTTTAGTTTTCTATCCATAACATTAAATAATATTTACGGTCACGACTATTAATACGCTATGCGCAATATAATGTATAAAGCTTATTTTTAATTACTGTTTTTTTATTTTTCATTACAGTAATAATTTTTCAACTGAGTGATGATTTTTTACATAAAACACGAGCAATAGTAAAGTTAAAGCCGATATATGTAAATCCGGCAGGCTAGCCTCTTCTCATTTTTGAGAGGGTTATGGAGCAATTAATTCGCCACGCTGCTCCAGTTTGTGGAGTTCACATATCCTCGAAACATTTTAACCCTCAGACATGCATGTTTCATGATGATGGGTTTCTTCATCGCCAAGCAGGTGGTAGATCAACACTTATGGCAGGCCACAAGTCTAAAATCAACCAAAAGAAGTACATATTTACAAACACTTACGTGTGGGGGGGGTATAAAAACATATTTATGAACTATAAAAAATATTGTAGGTAGAGAACAACCTGTTGCACTGGAGTAACGGACCATAATTTAAAAAAAAAACAGTCTGGTTTTATTTTTTATTTTGTTTTTATATAATGATGAATTAAAAACTGTGTAAATTCAATAACTCTGTTCAAAACTGTAAAAGTTTTTTTTTTTCGAAATAAATAGCAAAGCCACCATTATCATCAAGTATGATATGCGATTTTCAACTCAAAGACGCTATGGGTAGTAAAAAAATAAACCGCGGTAACTCGTTTAGTTCTCGGGCAAAGCTCGAGTTGAAAGGTCGGTTCCAGATGCTCTGTATCACGCTTCGCTCTCGGATTGGCGGTCGCGCTTCCCCCACTGCGGGACGCGCGAGTGAAAAATGAATTTGAAATCGTGCTATCGTATATCGTTAGACCTCGTCTTAAAATTGCAATTCACGATTTCATAAGTGACAGTGGGGATAGAATCCCAGTTGTTCTCGTAAAGAGGAATGACGCTACCATGATCTGTCCTGATAGGAAGTTGGTAACTAACTAAAACACAACTTCCAAAATATTTCTATTTGATCTGCATTTTGTATTAGTCAATGCTAGGTTGAATTAATTTATTATTTACTTTTAGTCGTTGTATATTGTGCATGTAGATTTTTTATTTATTTATTTCCTACATTCATTCAATTACTCAAGAATCTAAAATATAATAAATAAACCTATCTATGCAACCTATCTGTCTACATACATACTATCGTAAAAAGGCCATAAAGACGTCTTCTAGCTCATATTCTGTTAAAATGTGTTTGAAATATTAGACTAAAAATAAAATAAAAATAGTCGTGACCGTATATTGTACGATACGAGTACAGAAGCTCGAAAAACTTAGTCTTTGCGTTGTAGCATGGGGCGGACGACAGGTCAGTAGAACGTAACTTACGTGCAACATACGACAATCACACTTTATATATATTTTAACTTATCAAATTATTATAATTTTAATTTATTTTATTTGTGTACATACTACAGTCATTTATTATTAATTACTCGAGATGTGCCTCATAATTGGACGTAAAAACTGTCAAGCGAATACAATCGTAACTTGAGTTTGACAAAAAATAAATAATAATTCATTCTATTTTAGAATGTATGTTGCAATACCATCATATTGATATATTCTAAATTTAAGTAACTTGCGATTCATGTACTAAAATAAACAAAAAAAATCGAAAATGTGGTAAAATTTGCAAAAATAAATTTAATATTTATCAATAATTGATATAAATGATTTTATATTTATTCCGCCATATTGTTGTTCTAGTTTAAAGAAATGTCGGAGGTGAATGACTGGAGGCAAAAACGTTATTGCCCATAAATCACATTCAATTTTAGATAATTTCAAATAAAAGTACAAGTCTTGAAATAATACTAGTTTTTACGGAATTTATCGCGTATATTTAACTTTTTAAATACCCGACGTTCGGGAGCTTTACAGCACTCATGGTCACGGGCAGGACTGAGATGTTCAACGTCCATATGTCATAGTTAACCGCGGTTACCATAGATTTAACTTTTTGTTCCGATCTATGCAGTATGAACTTATGGTATCTTGAAGTCTTGCAGTTGTATGCTTGGGTTGGGATTTAATTTTATTTATTATAGGATCCCAAGCAGATGGTAGCACCCAGCCATCTTCTCTATTGAAATTAGGATGTTTTTTGATTTCAATAGCCTCGCGAATCATCCTTGGAAGGAATCGGTGTTCTTTAGCGAGGATCTGCGGTCTATCAAATCTGATGTAGTGACGGGGGGCGATCCTGTACGTGTTCACAGACTGCAGACTTCTGAAGTGTTTACAGACTGCAGACTTCTGAAGTCTGCAGTCTGTGAACACGTACAGGATCGCCCCCGTCACTACATCAGATTTGATAGACCGCAGATCCTCGCTAAAGAACACCGATTCCTTCCAAGGATGATTCGCGAGGCTATTGAAATCAAAAAACATCCTAATTTCAATAGAGAAGATGGCTGGGTGCTACCATCTGCTTGGGATCCTATAATAAATAAAATTAAATCCCAACCCAAGCATACAACTGCAAGACTTCAAGATACCATAAGTTCATACTGCATAGATCGGAACAAAAGTTAAATTTTAATCTATGGTAACCGCGGTTAACTATGACACATGGACGTTGAACATCTCAGTCCTGCCCGTGACCATGAGTGCTGTAAAGCGTTCGAAACGTCGGGTATTTAAAAAGTTAAAATATACGCGATAAATTCCGTAAAAACTAGTATTATTTCAATGTGTAGTGTTCGCGTAAATATAAGAAATCATTAAGTACAAGTCTGATTTACTCGTATTTCATGAACGGTATATCATATTTATATATTTGAACTTACGTTTTAAATTTATCTTACCTACTCTTTCAAAAATATATATTATGTATACAGCGAAAGCCGCTAGTACTTGTACTTGTTAAATGATAAAAAGGACAGAATGATGTTTTTTAATTAATTTTTCTTTATCGTTTGCCTATATTAATTATTCTGCAAATTCTCGGCAAATTTGGCCGGTTATTGCAAAATAGCCCTGTATGTTCCGGTTTAATTTTTTTCTCAATAGCTAATCGATAATTTTTTTTTTAAATTATCCATTTTAAATCGATTTAACATTATTCCATCTCTAGACTCGATAAACTGTAAGCTGTTACCCGCACCATGTTACAACGCAAAGACTTATAGTTACTCACATATCAGTTAGTAAGGTGAATTATATTAGGGAATTATATTAGTAGCGTGAGTGTTACTTACGTGCGTGGCGCTTGGACATCGAGCGTGCGTACGTAGCCCGTGCATCTGTACACACACACATACACACACACGTACACATGCACGAACACGCACACATTTACTGCACTACTCATGAGCTAGAGTCTAGATTAGTCACTAGACTACAAATAAAGATTGGACTGAGGGCGTTTTAGATATTTCTCATCGGTTTTTGAATGATCCACTGGTCGACATAGACGTTTTACGAAGTATGCTAATAGCTACGCTTCACAAACGGATTGAGAATTGCAATATCAACCGTCTCGCAGTTATTCATGGCGACAGTATTCATTTACAATCAGGAGAGCCACTAAACTCACCCTCCCCTCCTTCTTATATAAAACAAAACTCTGTGTTGCTTTGGGCATCTTTTGATATATAAGAGAGAGTTATTTTCAACATAAGATAACCTCCATAAACTGCCACAAGCACAGTCATCAGTTCATAGACTTCCATGTTCGATCAAAAACAACAAAAACAAAACAGAAACCCTGTAACAGTCTACACTGTGCGTTTCAATACAGGTAGATAATCAAAAACATTTCTCCTGCTGCTGATGAGGTTGTTTTACAATACTAAAAAGATTTAGGGGTTATGTACGAACAAACAACCTAGCTCTTGCAATTTTTCTTATATCTTCGATTTAAAAGCACTCTTGTTCTTGTAATGCCAGTTTTTTTTTTTCATAATTTAATACGTATTTCTATGTTTATTATGAGAATGGTCTTAGTAAAAAGAGACGTTTTTGAATGCATTTTTTCGAAGCTAACGCTCAGTCCATTAATCTACGTCTACGACGGGCACTCCGCAAACCACAGATTGTTAATGTCATGTTAGTGCAATACAAGCGAGTGCTTACATTTTTAACATATACATAATACTATTCATAATTCGTTGCATGTACTTCATTGCGTTGACCTTTAAATTACACTACGTGCTTTAATATTTTAATAAAATTTGCATTTGTTAATGAATTTAATATAACTGCATTGATACACAATATAATATATTTTATATATTAAAAGTATTCTTAAGTACATGAGCTAACATTTATGTATAGTACTAGGCATAAATTTTTTCGTGCCCACAAAACCAGAAAAATTAGTTTGAATACAAAATAAGTGCGGTAAAAAACAATTATTATTATAGAGAAGAGAAATATTTAGAAGATAGGATTATTAATACTTATACACCACACCATTTGCCATTTGCATTTTCTTAATAATCTGATAGTAATATTTGCTATAATATATAATATTAGCAAATAGCTAATAAACATTTATTTATTACCACCAATAGTTACAATAAGTAGTACAGACAGAAATAACTAAATATAGTAGTACTGTAGTAATAAATGGATTTTAGTAGCTCGGCATAAATGTTGCAGTTGCCTACAACAACGCTGTTATTGTGCCAGCGCCTAACATAGGAACATGTTAAAATTATAAAGAGTTTTAATTTATCTTTATATGCAAAAAACAAGGATTATTTTATGAGCGTTCGCCACGGTATATCAGTGTGCGAATGTGTAGTGGCGTGCAGCGGTACCTCTGAGAGGATCCTGGCGCTGGACTGCAAGCGGGCTGTGAGCCGCACGTTCTCATCGCGCAGGTCTTGTAGCCGGCGCGCGAACTCGTCGCGTTCGTGCTCGCGCTCGGCTGCCTGCTCCTCCACGAACTGCCGCGTCGAGCGCAGCTGCCGGTTGGCCGCCTCCAGCTAACGGATAATTACATTCATCATTTGTTTACACACAGCGCAACCCCACAGGTTGTCTCAAAGGGGGGTATTTACTATAGACGCTACACAAGACAAGCGGATTTGCAACAGCACGTTTTTATTTTTAGTCGTTATTAGGGAGACACAGAGACACAGCTGCTCGACTCGAGGTGTGTTTCCCTCTGTCGGCTCTTACGACACCCACAGAACGATATGAAGTAAAGAAAGAACAAAGAAAGAAAGAAAAACATTATTTGAAATCACAAAGAAATACGAGATATTTAAAAAAATAACACAGAATTTTTATGAAGTCAAATTAGGTCCCTATTTCAGCTAACCGCTGCTTTACTAAATGACAGCAGCGCTGATTTTTAAATAGAACCCAATATTCACCTCACGATTCGACATACATTACTTAAAGCTGAAAAGTAAAGACAAACATTCGGAGAAGTGAGTGGGGAATAAATCAGCATAATAAGAGGTATTATTTGAAAATAATAATACATTGTATAAGTGAACTTTACAACTACATATCACTATAGATCAATACAAGTACATACATAAAAACATGTACATTTACATGTACATATACATTATAAAGTCCTTAACAGCTCAACATCATGAAGTATATTATCTTATCTTAATAAAATAAAAATTTAAATTTAATTGTAGACTACATAATTGGTAAAAGAAAAGAGATTTAACCACCGTAAACAAAAAGAAACGATACAGTGAGTGGACTGAGTGTCGAGTGAGTCTTATCTAGCAATATTTCCAACATTATTTAGAGGACCTTTATATTGTGCACGTAAAAAAAAAATAAAGAGAAAAAAGTGATTCTTTAAAATTACGAGGGATTTTGGTCTTGTTTTAAAATTGCTGACAGTTTTTTTAAATGTTCCTATAGTTCTTAAAGCACGTATTGGTGGCCGCAGACCGTTCCATCAGCGTGAAACTGCATACCTGAAGGACCCTCCAAATGCCATTCAATGTTCTATGTTTTACAATAACGAAGACGTTAGAACATTTTTACGTTTCGAATATTTTGAATGTTCGCTAACCCACAGATTGCAAACAGTACGCCATTAATTTCAAGGTAATCTGTCATCTGCTTGCAAATTACTTTTTGTAGTATTTTGGAAATGCAGGGCAACAGACTAACAGGTCGTAGGTCTTGAATGGAGAGAGGGTTGATCTTCTTTGGTAAAGGCTTGACAATTGCAAGATTCCAAACAACCGCACTCCGGATTGCTTTATTAATGACAACAGTTATTGCCATGTGGTGGGGCTACTGAGCACAGCTCAGTGGTGGTGAGTGCGCAACAGCTCCGCGGCACTGATCTCCCCGGCGACCCGGCGAGCCGCCGCTAACCGCTACTTGCACTGCTCCCATGCGCTCCACAAACACTACATCTCGCTCCTCTACTGATACACCTACTCTGGCTGCAACCACGGACACGGTGTCAATCATATTTTCACCCTTTTCTTCCGGTAGGTGCTCGATCTCCAGATCAGAGAGCAGGTTGGTCCCGACCGTTGAGCTCCAGCTTCAATAAGTTCACCGTTTGCTCCAGGTCGACAACCTCAATTCCGGAGGATTTCTGCCTTTGCTCAATTATCTCATGTCTCCGCTCATAAAACCCTAATACGGACGCACGAAGTTCACCAATCTACTTCCGGATTTCTCGCATCTCAGCTGTACAGGTCACGAGCTGTACATGTCATGGCGACTTAGCTCTTGTGCAATGGATTCTTTACAGATTTCATGTCTAATGTCTGAGATAAATTGCTGGAGGGTGGTCTAATAATGGCCTCGCGGGGTGGCATTATCTATAGCATTATATCATATATAGACAACATTATCTCGTAATGTGTTATCGAATTCTTGTACGGATTAGCTAACGACGTTATAATTTCATTACGAATAAAAATACCCAGACGTGAAACAGCATGAAAAATGCGAGATATTCTTTTTTTTTTTCGAAACACCAACAGCTTTCATACATTTCACTTATTACAAAATTTTAAATCTACATAGCTAATACAAGGTATTCGCACATATTATATACGTACCGTGAATGTTACATATATAAATGATCACCAATCCACATGCCAGAGTTTATAACTACGAAATATTCTCTAACTAAAGCGTATGACCAGTAATGAATTTAGCCTGATAAAATTTAAAAAAAATCCTGTAAATAGATTTTAAATAACAAATAAAACTAAATAAAGCAAACGCAAACTAGAAAAAGCTTTTTGCAGAACTACGGAGTCCACTACAGCCACTATATTGCGCGCAAACAATTGGATAAACAGCGAATAAAACTAATTTTACGGATTTTATTGCGTTTAATTTGAATTGATTTCAATTCCCGACATTTCATATGCATAGGATGGTTCGGTTCCCCGTGACCATGGTTAAAGTAAATTAAATTAATCGCGATAAAATCCATAAAGTACTTACTCAATGTATAATATTTATTTAAATATAAGAAATAATTACGGATAAATGGTGTAAAGCTGCGTGTGAATTACCTTCTGGCAGCAAATCTTATGCACGGGCGAGTCTGCCATCCGCCTAACCTTTGCGTGCGTTGTGCGTAGCGTTAAAAAATAAACGTACTTATAAAATACATTGTGCATATAACACACACACACACACACATATTTAGAGAGAGGTGGCAAAAAAGAGACAAGTTATTTGATTGACTAGGTTCACATCATTAAACAAAATTTAAAAATCACTCAGTTTGTTTTATAGGCTCCTGCTTCGCATATCACGCTTACCCACTGTCGATGTCTTTATAATATATACTAGGTATTTTTTTACAAGACACCAACTATCGAGGCCCACGCAGAATGTTCGTAGGATACTGGCAGGTGCTAATGTAAATGATATATTTTGAATTTATTTATGCCAGCTAGGTATACAACATGCATCAAAACCCCTGTGGTTCCCGATAAGTGTGTTATCAGAATCAGTATTTAAACGTTAAGAAGTTATTTTACTTCAAAAACCTCGAACATAAAAAATTAAATTAAATTAGGTAAATTTTTATTTACAAATTGTAAGTGGGTTAAGGTAGTAAGAGAAGGTATGGTCTTAAACCCCGATTTACCAATGCGTGTATCAGTTAATTTAGAAGTGAATAACATTGTTTCAATCAATACAATAACATTTTTCAGTAAGTAACCTATAGGGAACGCTGAAATCCCTATATTATAGACCAAAAAAATCTTTAAAAGAATAACTGAGTTGTTTGGTACATATTCTGTAAAACTTATTCGATGGAATCTTTATGAATTGAGCTTTTTCAGTTCTGTCAACTGTATATAATAAACATTAAAAAAAATTAATGATAATAATTACAACAATAACATAAGTGGCTAGTTCTACTTATTTGTTTTCCTCTAAATATGTTCATAGACTCAAAATAGAATTCCATATTAAAGTGTTATGTATGAGCCGAAGCCGGTGTGGATGGCTAGTGTATAGAGATGATAGTTGTAATAACAATGATTGCTCGCACTGTCTTCTTTTTATTAAATATCATTGAAAAAACGAGCACACTTACCATAGATTAAGAATTAAAATGCAAAATGCGTTCTTACCTCTGAGGACTAAGATGGAATGCCTCGTTTACAGTAAAAAAGGTCTCCGCTTCTCTACACTCACCGTACGAAACACAATGTCTGTGCGTGGGTTATTTCCCGGTCGAGCCGAGCCATTCATGCTACTACCATAATGTAACTGCAGTGTGGCTCTACTATGTATAAAGGTCGATTTACACTTGGACAAGTACAGTAGCGAGATAATTTGCGAACCTGGCGAGTTATATAGAAAATCTCGTTTGAACGGCAATCGTTGATGTCTTCTTCATGCGTGTAGACACACATGGAGGTTTCGGGCCTCGGGGTAAGCCCCCATTACCCGTGCTGTCCTCGCGGTCCACTACTATGGACCGGTCCTGGGAGCCTTCTAATGGCGTTGTAAGTATCAAAAACGAATTGTCGCTATCGGTAGTTTTTTCGTAGTCAGTTATGACTACGAAAAAAGGAGATTATCTAATAAGGTCGGAGTTGGCCTTTCAGCGGCATTGAGGGTTGTTACTCGACTCTCTAATCGATATAGAGAGGAGTTCTCTTGGATAGGGTCGCCCGTCCGGAGGGCGAGTGTGTAGCGGCGCAAAGTTGTTAAGATGTATATGCGGCCCGTTGTCTGCACGGTCGAACAGTCCGCGCGCCAACCGGGCGACAAATTCCTGTATGGTGTCAATCTTCAGGTTGGCCGCTATGACGTCATTCCGGACGTAGCGACCCGCACCGACGATGGTTCTTAACGCCATATTTTGCTGGGCCTGCAGTCGCCGCCTCAGAGGCTCACTCAGAAGCGCGTACCAGGCCGGAGCAGCATAGGTGATAATGGCTCTGATGTAGGTTTTATATACACGCACTTTGGTGTTAAGTGGTAACTTGGATGCCAGGACCGGACGTAGCATCGCCCGCGCACATCGTGCTCTACGGACGACGAGGTCGACGTGCGCAGTCATGCGCAGCGCCCGGTCGATCCGGCACCCAAGGTAGGTCACGGCCTTCTCGTACGCGATCTGCTGGCCATTGAGGGTTAATTGAGGTGGTAGGTTCCTGAGGCGACGAGTGAGCAGAGCGGTCGTCTTACCAACGTTGACGACCATCCTCCACTCATCTAGCCATGGTGGCAACAGGTCCAGGAGGCGTTGCATCCTGGCAGCGGCAATATGGGCTCTTCTGGAAGAGGTGAAATAAGCGCTATCGTCCGCATATAACGCCAATTCCACGTCGTCCTCCCATTCTTGCAGCCTGCCTGCCAGGGTAGGGATGTCGTTGGTATAAGCCGCGTACAGGACTGGAGACAAACAGCTGCCCTGAGGAACGCCGGCTCTGATGGTTCTGGTTGCGGACTCGGCGCCCTCTACGCAGACGTAGAACTTCCTGTCTGCTAGGAAAGACGCCACTAG